AATCTTCCTCTTCTTCTTCTATCTCCTGCTTCCTTGATTCGGTCGAAGCTGATGGCTGTGATTGCTATTTGACTTCCTGTTTACCTTCGATGCTTGACCTTTCTGAGGTTGATAGTGATGATATCGGTGTTACCTCATCAACCGCAAACATTTCCTTTGCAACATGCTTCTCCCCGTATACTGTTTTTACACCGTCCGACGTTGGGAATTTCATCATTTGGTGGAGAGTCGAAGGGACTGCCCTCATATTGTGGATCCAAGGCCTTCCGAGAAGGGCATTGTACCTCATGTCACCCTCGATTATGTGGAACTTAGTATCTTGAATGGTTCCAGCCACGTTCTCTAGTAGAGTAATCTCCCCTTTAGTTGTTTCACTGGCCATATTGAAGTTGTTTAAGACCCGAGCTGCGGGCACGATTTGATTTTGTAGGCCGAGCTGCTCCATGACCCTCGATCGGATGATATTCGCCGAGCTACCTGGATCCACTAAAACACGCTTAACTTGAACTTTATTTAATAAGATAGAAATTACCAGAGCGTCATTGTGGGGCTGAGAAATGCCTTCTGCTTCTTCGTTGTTGAACAATAAAGTGCCTTCGGGCACATAATCTCGGGATCATTTTTCCCTAGTGATTGATACCTTAGTGCATTTTAATATGGGTCCCTGTGGAGTGTCGACCCCACCGACGATCATATGAATAACATGTTGGGGTTTCTCATGTTCATTTTTCCTGTTGGCGTCCCTTTCTCTGAAATGATTCTTGGCTCGATCGTTGAGGAACTCTCGAAGGTGGCCCTCGTTGAATAGACGGGCTACCTCCTCCCTTAATTACCTACAATCGTCGGTCTTGTGACCATGCGTGCCATGGTATTGCACATCAAATTTGGGTTTCTTTGGGAAGGATCGGTTTGTATGGGTCTGGGCCACCTAGTATCTTTGATCCTTCCGATTGCCGACACAATGCCCGATGCATCGATGCTAAAGTTATATTCCGATAACCAAGGTGCTTCTGTGGGATTGGCATACTTGTCAAAACCATTTTTTCTCATAAGTCCCCGAGAATTCTGTCCTCGATCACTTCTTCGATTATTCTAGGCGGAATTGTATCCTGAACCATTGTTCCTTCGATCTGCGGTATATGGTTGATATTGGTCTCTGTTCGACCTTGGATCCCTGTCGACGTTCCTCTGGTTTTTAACTACCGACCTGTTTGGATGTACTGAACCGGAAGGGGCTCCTAATTGGTCGTCCTCGACCCTGATCTTCGATTAATATCGATTGTGCACATCTTGCCAAGTTACAGTCGGATACTCAATCAAATTTTGTTTCAACCGGCGTGATGCTACCGAACTCCGCTCGTTCAACCCTTGGGTGAAAGCTTGAACGGCTCTGTGACCGGTGGCAATTCCATGCGTTCCATTTGAAATCGGGACACGAATTCCCTCAGCATTTAATTATCCCTTTGTCTTACCTTGAAAAGGTCTGATTTCCTCGTTGCGACCTTTATGGACCCTGCGTGTGCCTTTGCGAAAGAGTCCGCTAACATGATGAATGAGTCGATGGAGTTTGGTGGTAGGTTGTGATACCAAATCATTGCTCCCTTCGAAAGGGTCTCTCCGAATTTTTTCAACAACACAGATTCGATTTCATCGTCTTCTAAATCATTACCCTTGATGGCACATGTGTAAGAGGTGACGTGTTCGTTGGGGTCGGTCGTTCCATTATACTTAGAAATCTCGGGCATGCGAAATTGTTTGGGGTTCGGTTTTGGACCTGCACTTGGTGGAAAAGGCTTTTGCATGAATTTTTTGGAATCCAGCCCGTTCAACACTGGTGGTGCCCCCGGGATCTGATTGACCCTGGAGTTATATGTTTCCATTTTTTTATCGTTTGCTTCGATCCGTTTTGTGAGTTCCTCGAGTATCTTAGCAATTTCGGGATTAGTCATCGATTCTTGCTCATTTGATCTTACTATTGTTGGCTCCGTTCTGTGGGTGATTTCTCGGGGTAGACTGGGCTCCGGCCTGCTCGGTACCTGGGTTTGACTCTGCAACTGAGCTATTGCTAGCTGTTGAGCTTGCAACATTTCGAAAATCATATGCAAGCTGATTCCATTTTCCTCAACATTATGGGTATCTCGAGCTGCAGATCGAGTACCACCATGAATGCTATTTTCAGGTTCAGAACGTAGGTTTGCCTCAATGGCCACATACGAATTAACGTCTAATGGCACTTCGACTCGAGCTCCAACGTAGTCGACAAGTGGCCTTTCGGCCCTGGGCGTCATGTTATTGTTCTCACCTTGAAGGCCAGCTTCGTTGTCGATAGGTAAGGCCATTCAATTGAGAGCTCGTCGTTGCTAATCCGAAATCAAAGACACTTCCGAAAATAAGCGTAAAATGGTGTGTTTTGAAGATTCGTATCAAATAACCACTATTATCCTTAGCCCCACGGTGGGCGCCAAACTGTTTACCCGAAAAACGGATAGAGTTGAATTTGTATGTAGTTCTAAGAGTATGTGGTATAACTCGACATAAATCGTAAGAGTAAGTAGAAATATCGAATATTGACTATAAAGAAAATATACAAACCGAATTGACAGGAAGATGATTTATGGGTTAAGCAAGATGAATTAATCTATAAAGCTAAAAAGGATAATTTTTCAATATGCGAGTGTATTGTATCTGAGTTACAATGTATTAATGACTTGATGCCCCTTTACAAGAATAATAACTATCTCTCTTATAGTGGAGGCATCCTACTTTGGATATAATAAAAAATACATAGTGGGGAACTCATGATAAATCAGTTTTTTCCTAATTTCCGCCGAGATTCCCTTTCTTAGTGCGGCTGTAACGGTTCTTGTCTCTTGGCTCGATCTTGATCGGACTTGGTATCGGTCGGTTTTCAGGCTTAGAGCTCGATGTGGGCTCGAGCTCGTTATTAACTAGGGGTCCGGTATTGGTTCGCCTCTAGCTCTTAAGCTCGATTCCATCGCTTCTTATCATAGTTCGATTTGGATTCGAGCTCGATAATGACTTCGAGCTCGGTATTTGATCTGTCCCTAAAACTCGAAGCTTGTTTGTGCCCTCATCGGATCTCATCTCGATATTATGAAGACTCTCTTCGGTCCATTATGTTCTCATCTCGACCGGTCGTACGAAGGCCAAAATCGATACACTATTATCTGAAGAGTGGTATAAATTAATTAAAGAGCACATAGGAATTCAGGTAAGAAGTACTTTAAACATTACGTAGTAATTACTAATATGAAGGGTTGCATCTCTTCAAATAAATTTGATGTTTTTATTTATTTTATACTAATAAATTTAATCTGAAGGGTTGCATCTCTTCAAATAAATTTGATTTTTTTATTTATTTTATACTAATAAAATAATTTATTTTAGAAGGATATTTTGGTAATTCAACTTTTAAGTTATGGAGTTCCCACTTTTAATATAATATAGATATAGATTTATACTAATAAAATAATTTATTTTAGAAGGATATTTTGGTAATTCAACTTTTAAGTTATGGAGTTCCCACTTTTAATATAATATAGATATAGATTTATACTAATAAAATAATTTATTTTAGAAGGATATTTTGATAATCCAATTTTTAAGTTATGGGGTTCCCACTTTTAATATAATATAGATATATAGATATAGATGTAGTTGTATAATCTCATTAAATAATCTTAGCTATGCTGCCACCGTAATATATAGTATCAAATTCCACGTTGTACATTATTGACCAAGCAAAGGTTGGTGTTTTCTAAAATTTAAAAGACTAGGCAAGACCATTCTTACTGACTGTCACTTATGCTATACTTAGATCGACCAAATAATTCTCTTGAATCTTATATAAATTCCTTTGTCCTCTTTTAGAGCTAGCTGATCATTATAACACTAATTAAGACACACTTAGACATATAGTCACACCCATATGCTACTTCAATGAAAGAGAAACTATAACCAAGCAACTGTCTTATTTCAATCCAAATCATTGTTACAAAATAGTTACTCATCGTATAAAGTATTCGTAGTATTGCATTGTTTCAATTGTCAATTTGTAAGGTGCGATTGACCCACGACTCACTTATTAATTCTTTACCCCATACTTCATATGTATGTAAGTAAATTTTCCAACAATATATATATAACTTAAAAGTTTTCTCTTAAAATATTGGGTTATTACTTATTACGGTTCTTTGCCATTGATGATTCAGAAGTTTCAGTACTAGCCAGCGATGATTTTTCGAAAGGCTCCGATGAAATTACTATTTTTCTAGATGATTTTGTTGGATAAAGTTCCTGTTGAGAACCATGAGTTCTTTGCTGATTTTTTCTATTGATTTTGATGATTTTCTGTTGCCCTTTAATAATGATGAAAAGATAAGCTATTTTGTGTTTTTCTTTTTCATTTTTTGCTCTTATTTTAGTCATTCTCTCTTCGATCTTTGTATTCATGCTCTTTTTGCGCGTGTGTACCAAACATTTTATCTACCTCAGCCTTACATATGCCACATAAGCTAGGTCAACCATGAGAGGGGTGTAAGAAAAATCGCCTTTAGGGACGAGAATAATGATCCCTAAAAGTCCGATTATGGTCCTTTAATATCATTAGCGACCAGAAAAATCTGGTCGTCACCGGTCGCTAGAGGCTCCGCCGCTAAAGGTCAATAACGACGAGATTTGGTGACCGGCCCTTAAAAACCTTTAAGGACTGGTATGATTCTGGTCCTTAATAAACTTTGAGGGACCACATTACTGGTCCCTAATGAATGATAAAAAAGAATGTTGGATGCTGCATCTGGTGCCTATTAATTTACAACGACCAGATTTTACAGGTCCTAATCTTATAGGACTTTGAGGACGAATATTTCTGGTCCTTAAAGATCTTATGAAATGTGGTCCTAAACAAATGTATTTTATGTCCTGCTTTTCCGAAATATTATTCCATTCATAATGTATATACTGAATGCATATAGACAAACTTATCAATAATGTGTTCATATATATATTTGTAAAATAACAAAAGAAAGGATTAACATTCCATTTGTACTGTATCATTTACACACCCTTTGGGAAGAAAACAAATTAACATCATTTGCAAATAAAATAAATTGTTGTCTATAGTTCTGGGCAAATAATAATTAGCTTGTCAACTTGAATTCTCCAAAATCTACATCTTCACTTGTAAACTGAAGTCTTCAAGACCTATGACAAGTATGAAATGAATTCACTTCAGAAAAACTATAATAATCAACCAGAAAGTTTGAGTAACTAATTGCGAGACCTACATTATTTCATAAACTAATTACAATATAACAATACTTTGGTCATATAAGAAACTTGCATTATGAAATAAAACACAAAATAGCCATCTCGGCAACTAAAACACTGTAAGAGACTCAAAAAGTGCATTTGTTTTATCAATGACAAGGAGAACTACATCTTATTATATACAAATAGGTTCCATAGGCTTAGAGGGAGACAAACAGATAATTATTTACCATATTACACCTCAAGTTGTAAGTGCCACGCAACCTAAGAAACAAAGATTAAGTTCAACATTAGCATTAATGAGAATCATCCAAAGTCCATAATATAGCGTTAATGAGAATCAGCCCTCATTATTTAATACATATAAAGATAGGATGCAAATTATAAGATCGAATAACATTATGTTATATAAACTACTAACAAACAAATTGCACTTTTAAAGTACATCTTCCTTTAGAGAATATCTGGCACATAAATGTTTAAGAAAAAAATCAAAATCAGTGCCTTATAACTTTTCCCATTATCATAATCAGATTTTGGGTTCTGCTATAAACAAGAAATTGTGAGGGGTTTATGTTCTTATCAGTTCAATGTAGAAAATTTCCGGATCACGTAACACAGATCAGGGTAAATCTACTGATGCAAAAATAAAAAATAAACTATTGACAATGATCCTATACTTGAACCTAAAACTTGTTGTCCTTGCAATTAGCCTTTAACTTGTGAGAAAATATTTAGCAATTCCTTAATGATCAATGCACACACACATAGATATTTTTTTTGTAAAAGAAACATAATTTTTACAAGAATTTGTGAAAGAAATTTCTGGACCTGCTGTCTAACTCTCTCAAGTTTCAGCTCAAGTTGTGCTAACTTCAAATGGCATTGTTTTCAACTACTGAACTTACTCCTAGAAAGAGAAGGGAAGAGAATCAAGAAAAGGAATTTATCTTCCATATAATTGAATTTTAAAAAGCAAAATTTCTTGTACCTTTTTCCGCATACGGCTTTCACACAGTGAGCTTTGATATTGCTGCTAAACACAAAAGTGAGAGATAAAGAGGAAATGGCTTTGGGTATGCACGCCTTGTCGGGAATACTCTATTTGTTGATAATCCCATATCAGAGGGTATAAATTGTTCATAAAAGTAAAAAGAGTACATAACCAGATGAGTGTTTGAGATATACTACATGAAACGTTGCAGTGTTACAACAAAAATAAAATCATATTTGAGAACCTAAGAAATGTATCCCAAATTGTTATAAAATTATATCATGAAGATACATGCGAACTTCAGAGTGACGTCTGACACGGAGATGCAGAGAATAGAAGACTAAAGTTTCAACTAAATGGTTATAACATGATATAGAGTGTAAGGTTGAGTTTCAGTCCAAAAGTAAATTGTACCTGCATGAGTAGCAAAAACAAACTGAGAACCAGCAACGAAATCAATAAAAGTGGATAAAAGAGAATAAGGAAAAATTAAAAATTGATTCAGATTGTTAGAAGAAAGTCTATCATTTCAAGAGTGCAACATCCCTCACAAATGAACCTCCACCTTCATCAATAGATAACCTTAACAACCGTTGCACCAAGATCAAATATCTTCATAAAATCTTATAGAACTACAAGTACAACACTGATTCACTTATTCAAGCAACCTCCTTGTGGAGAAACCAGAAACACATCTCCTTCAAGGTGTTCAACTTTAATACCACGTTTCCCTAACATTTCAATATTTTCTTTAAAACATGTCTTAGAACCATACAACAACATATTTAAAATTACCAATTTCAATCTATCATTTTCACAAAGGCTTTGCGCGGATGAATCTTTACTTTTTTCTGTAACTTCAATCCATCTACTAGAGCACTAGCAGCAAACAGTTTTTTCACCAGTTGAAATAGCCATTGTCTAATAAATTCACAAGTTTAATTTCTTTTAGCAAACATAACTATCACTCGTATTTAAAAGAAGCTACATGAACCTGATAATCACCGTAGACTAGCAAGCTCAGTTTAGCACCTCACCTAATGTCAATTGGTAACAAAGTACAATAATCATGTTAATTAAAGCTTCCTTTTAGTACGTAAAGGAGTGTTTAGTAGCAATATTTGACATGGGTATAATAATATTAAGAAGCTCACTATAAAATAAACACCCAATTTTAGCAAAAATGTGGATAACATGTATCCATCAACAAAATGAAGAGCAACAATGAAAATACATACCAAAAATCACTCATTGCCCCCATAAATGAAATGAATCAAAACCCACAAGCATTAACAACAAAATCCAGCAAGTCTAAAATAGTGAGTGGAAGAAAGGAACTCTAACCGATGATTGGAACACTTCATCTCTTAAGCAAGTCGTAAAGATAATCAAATCTTGCATTCAAGAAACAAAATTGTCAGCACACACATATACAAGCATAGCTGAAGCAGATAAAGAGAATAGAATTATGGGAATCAAAACTTACGAATTTCAAGCTAATACTCCTGGAAGCACCTCGGACCACAATGAAACAACTCCTTCCCATCTCACTGCGGAAGCTGAAATGAATAACACGTGAGCTCTTCTTCACAAAACGGCTCAGAGATATGGCCTCGCCATAAAAATAACTTGTTGAATCACAATATGCCAACTCAATCGCACAGATCCGACTTCAGTTGGTGATGGAAAAAATTATCCAAAATAACTTAGCAAAATTGAATAATCTGTAGAATAGTCGTGAACAGATTGATGATGGAAATCGTCATTTTGAACAATAAAATCAAGAACAGATTTAGATGAAATACTAGAACTGATTGTCAAAGTGATGAGGGTTTGGGGATTTTGAGAGAAACGTTGAGAGACGGGGAGTAAACCCTAGTTCCTAAATGACGACTTGGGGAATGTTTTTAAGTGTTTCTATTTCTTTATTTCTTTTTCTAGGTTTCTATCTCTTTATAATTATAAAAATATTAAAATTTTAGAAGAAAATTTTGGGCGGCACCTCAAGTCTCGCACTCCCGCTCTGTTATGCATATTAGGGACGAGAGTTTTATAATAATAGGGATGAGATTCAGTCCCGTCATTATTTAATTTAGAATTAGGTACCAAAAATAAAACTAGTCATTATAAGTATACTTTTAGCGACTAGATTTCAATCCCGCCGCTAAATATTGGTCACTAATGAGCCTTTTTCTTGTAGTAGTGTGTTTTAATAACTACAAGTATTTAGATAAAACTCTATGGAGTGCAGGAATCAGGATGACAAACCGAAATAAGTACAGGGTCTACTAGGCTATTCTGCCCCAAAAGAAATGTGAAATAATGTATACCTTAACCGTGCTTAGAAGACTCGTTTGGTTTAAGTTATTCAGCTTTCAAAGCAAACTTTTATTTTTGAAAAAACTGGACCCAAATTGCATGTGTTGCTTATCTTTACCAAAAAAAGAATTCAGCTGTTAAGTTTGCCTAAGCGATTCGATCGAAAACCTTTTCCAAATCTTTTTCGTTTAACTTGATTTGGTTCTGCAAATGCCTTTAACTGAAAAAGTTGTTAGACAAACAAGTGGACTAAAGAGACCTTTATTGATAAAAAGTTGATATATACCCAAATTTGGAGATTATTAACCTTATAAAATGAAAGATTATCTTAACCATGTTTACCTATACCCTACGAGATTTTGATTATCGTAAGATCGTTGATTCTAAACAACCAGAGCAAAGAACAAAGCACATAATATCAGTGTTAGTTTTGCAATTCAATATATACAGAAGTGGGCTAAGAATAACGGTAATATAAAATAGAGTGGATATCTAGACTCTATGATAGGATGACAAGTATTCAGGCCCATTTCAAAATAATAAACGTCAGAGTTTAGCAACAGTGACGCTATAAGGAGAGTAGGCAGCTTAGCTCAGTGATCTTGGGTCAGAGTTCACAATGAACTTCGCTGGCCCAGTGTATTCATGCAAAAGAAGAAGAAAGACTTAATTAGTACTTGCATTTAAGAAGTAAAAGCAGAAACATAAAAAAGTACACAATTATAACCTAAAGTAAACAAAGCAAGTTAAGTTTGTTTGTGATAACCCTCTAGATGTTAATCAAAGCCAATAACTATTCGCTTTCAAATAACAAACATGTCTTTTACACTTAGTAAGTCTAAATTATCAGGAACTAGAACTACGGGAAACTAAGCTAGCTTCAGGAGAATAGTTCATGATTAAACTTAATTGGATATCAAACAGCCTAGGCTAAGTATTCTTAGACTTAAAACTAACTTCACAAAGGTCATATTAACAGAGAACAACAAGAGCTATCAAACAAGGTAAGATGATCAGCAAAAACGCATAAGCATGGCAACTATAACAAGGCAGTATATGGTAAGAAAGAATGGCATTTTGCAGTTAAAGCTAACAAACAATCTAGATCAATAGTGTTTTAACTAACACGCAAGGCAGTGTAAAATTCACCAGGTTATCATGACCTTATACTAGTAAATCTTATAAACATAGTATCCACAACAATATAACAGTCTCATAGTGACAAGAAGTACCATCTTACAGCTAATATTAACAAGTAAGCAAATGACTTCAAATTAAAAGAGGTCTACCCAAACACAGCAAGATCAATATTAAAGCTATGAAATATAATCATGCTAAGTAAACCAATCTCACAACATGCCTCATACTCATATTCATGCTAACAAGTTAAGAAAAGCATGACTGTCAATATAAGACTCAACACACATTATACTAATCAAGCATAATAACTATACATAAGAAGCTATAAACAAAATTCAATCATTGAAACGAATTGAATGAAGGTGCACTGACCTTCCTTAGGGTAGAAAACTAGGTTCTTCACTTTAGCCGTTGAGAATTAATACCCGCAGTCAGCTTAAGAACAGATAACCTCGACTAGAATTGAAAGAGAGAAAAAGAAGAAATGATTTTGAGTAATAGATAAAGATTTTTATACTTTAGTATAGTTGCATTTTCTTCTACTTGTTCATTGTTAGGTGAAGGCATTAAAGCCGGTATTTACAGCCCAAAGATTGGGGCTTAGAGTTTGAGATTTGAATTCTCTCAGATTCAAAAATTATAAAGGAGAAAGAACAATAATGAACACTGACGAAAACTAATGACGGAATCAAAGGAAAAAGATGATAAAAAAATCTGAGGGGAAAATGGGTGAAGATATACCCTCTAAAAGTGATGGAGAAAGGGACGTTTGAAGCCTTGGACCTCTGGACAAATCCATTACCCATAGGTCCATGCATATGACCTCTAGGTCATCAAACGTCACGATGCAACGAACCAAAATCCCAACCTGTCGAGATGACACCTAACACACTACCTATACAAGCCGACAATCACATAATAACTAAACATTTGAATAGAACATGCTTTAATAAGCTCAACAGTAGAAAATCTCATAAACATCTAATAAAAATAACTGAAATGCTAGTACAACCATCCCAAAACCTGGTGTCAACGAGTACATAATCACTACTAATTATTAGCATAAACCAAAACTCTAGTACAACTGTCTGAGAAATAGAACAATACATAAGATAATAAAAGGAAAGAGAGCCAAGGTCTGCGGACATCATAGAAGCTACCTTGAAGTCTCAAAGCAAGTACGGCAACGATTTAGCAATCACCGCGTCCAGATGTACCTGGATCTGCACACGAAGTGCAGAATGTAGTATGAGTACAACCAACCCAATATACCTAGTATGTAACATGATTAATCTTGGGCTGAAAGCAATGACGAGCTCAGAAGGATACAGTCATAACCAATATAATGACAACACATGTAAGATAATGACAATGACAGTAAAGAACTCAGAGAAAGTTTCATATTCAGCTCGTTCGTGGTACATAAATTTAGACATGTTTGCAAGTTCACAATTTAAGACCAACAATTATAATAACATGTCAAATATAGCTAGCATAAGGAATGGTACATCTCTATGTCTACATGTCAAATATGCGTGTCAAATGTAAGGCATCACCATGATATTCTCATGTACTCACACTCTCAGAGTACTTAATTTGTCTATCTCAATGCCCACCCATCACTCAGCATTGTACGGGTGCCTGGCATCAATGCCCCTCACCAAAGCACGTGTATATATCATTTTGCATGCGCTCACTATTGATGTGTCAGACTCCGGAGGGGCTGATCCTGCCCAAGCGCTAATATAAAGCCTATAAGGCATGCTGTGGCTTACAATCCGATCCACAATAATCAATAAGCCTATAAGGCATGTTGCGTCGTACAGCCAGATCGACAATAATACACACAATCCGGCTCTCAAGCCCATCTAAGTCATCAATCTCTCAAGTCTCAAGGTCTCAGAATCTCATACCACTCAGTCCAAACAATAATAACATGTGATGTAACAACGAATGATAACAGATACTGAGATATAATATGCAAATAAAAAAACATGACTGAGTACATAATTGCAGTTAAAGCAGATAACTCAAAACAGTAAACATAACCTTATTAGGTCTTAACCAAATAAGCGCATAGCCTAAACATGATTTCTAACATGAATCACAGTCCAATTACTCTAACAAGTAAGAATTTCATGGGTGGAATAAGATTTGATAACAACACGGTACACAAGAAACAACCGGTTCATAATTACCACGGTGCACGCTCACTCGCCCGTCACCTAGCATGTGCGTCAACCCAACACAACACAAATAACACATTTTCCAGGGATAGATACCCTCAATACCAAGTATAGAAATGTTACTTACCTCAAAGTGCGCAACTCACTACTCCAACAAGCCCTTGCCTCACGAATCAACCCTTGAACGACTCGAATCTAGTTACAAACAACTTAATATAATCAATAGAAGCTATTGGAATCGATCCCATACGATAATGCTAAGATCTTTAACTAAATTCAAAAATTCAACCTCTGGCCCATGCCTCAGAACCCGATAAAATTCACAAAATCCGAACACCCTTTCAATTACGAGTCCAACCATACCAAAATTATCCAATTCAAACCACAAATCGACTCTCAAATCCTCAAATCATATTCTCCAGTACATAGACAAAAAATCCGCAAAATTTCATCTCAAACACACATAATCTAGGTGTAAAAATCAATGGGTATTCAATATTTATGGACAAAAATGATCAAAAGTCACTTACCTCTTGAATTATAGTGAAATCCCTCTCAAAAGTTGTCCCTAACTGAGCTCCACAAGTCCAAAATGAGTGGAAAACTCAAAACCCTTCGAAATATAGTTTCTGCTAGTGAAATCGCATCTACGATCCAACTTATGCTTCTCTAGAACTGCATCTGCTGTAAACTTTCCGCACCTACGGTAAGCACTTAAGCTCCTGACCTCATGCACCTGTGGTCCACCTTATCGCACCTACGGGACCGCTTCTGCAGTCCAACCTTCACTCTTGCGCTTTCGCACATATGGAGACAATCCACTTCTAAGACTCCAGCTCTCTTTCCCAAAATCTGCTTATGCGCCAGCTTCTTCGCACCTGCGGGCTCGCAGATGTGGAAAGAGCCTCACATCTACGGCCTCTTCCAAGACCAGCCAACTTTGTACCTGCGACGTGCCTATCACTTCTGCGACTTCGCACATGCGGCCCCAATCTCGCAGGTGCGATCACACCAGTCATCAGAAAACTCAGCCAAGATCCTAAGTTAAAAACAATTCTGAAATCAGTCTGAATCTCTCCCGAGGCCCCCAGGACCCTATCAAACATACGAACATATCCTAAAATATGATACAAACTTAGTCATAGCCTCAAATCACATCAAATAATATCAAAATTATGAATCGCACCCCAATTCAAACCTAATGAAACTAATGAACTTCCAACTTCTAAAATCATTGCCGAATTATATCAAACCAACTCCGATTGACCCCAAAATTTGCACACAAGTCATAAATGAC